CTTAGCATTTTCAGCAAAAAGTGAAAACAGCTGTAACCCTGTATTAGGGCATCAACATGTTGATTCAAAGTGACTGTCCTGTTAGCTGGTAATTCAAGTTTACCTGAGAATACTTGAATGCAGAAAAACATAAAAACAACTTCTACTGCAGAAGATCACTTTCCACTGTTTATAACTTTGCCAGGCTTTACCCTTTTCAGTCAATATCCTCTACTGTGTGTGTTTAGCCCAGAATTTGAAACCACTTTTAACAACTCAACCAGAAAACAGGGAAACAATTCTCTTCCCAGAGAAACACTTGTACCTCTTTCACTAGTGGCTCTAGTAAACTTACTCTCTCACTAAAGATGGCTTTGCTATTCCAAAAGAAAAAAAAAAAAGTCACTCAATTTCAAAATCACTGCACTTGCAAAACAGAGAAATTTCTAAGTCATTCCTTTGTGTGACTTGCAGTCTTTTCATGTTGACCAGCTTGTACAGGTGCTGCACAAATTTACAGGTAGTTCAGCATGCACAAGCCCAGGGGCAAAGACAAAGTAGTATTCCCTAAGGAGTAGTTTTCTCCAGAAAGGCAGGGCCAGGCACTGTGATGGAGATTCGGTTTGCCAGAAGAACAGTCTATTGAGAATAGCATTCTACAGAAATGGACCTGGATTGGTCTTTTAACACGTCTTGCCAGAGCTAGTGTACAAAGATTTTCATTTTTTTGTTTAACAAAATGTTTTTCAGCTTATTTCCAATACTTGGTTATGCCCTCCCACTGTTCTAGTAGGCACTGTTCCTTCACTTGTCTTCAACAGTTCTTGATATCCTGAAAAACTGAACCAGTTTGTACATTAACATAACTCATATTTCCTAACAGCACATAATTTGAATAAGCACTAGCTACTGAACTAATGCCCGGAATCATGAAGCATTACAATTTTAAGACTTCCCTAACCTGTTCACTTCACAAACCAGTTTAACAACCCGAGGGCTCAGAAACCCTATGAAAATGCCATGACTTAAAAAAACTCAAACAGCTCAGGTGACCTGCAGTTGATGTACAACCATAGTAGTTCACCAACGCAAATGTTTGTAAACAAAATCACGGCCTGGGGTGCAACAGGGGAGAATTAATTCTGCAGTTTTGGAGAGAAAAACCTGCGACATTTTTCTGGAGGTGACTGTTTGTTAAAACAGATGTACACGAAGATGTTAGGGAAAGTGAAATTAAGTACAAATTGTAATAAGACAAATAGCAAATGGAAGTCTGAAAGAGAAGGGCAAGGAAAACCACAGGAGGAATAAGTGCCTTAAAAGCAGCTTGTGTTTGCGGTCTATCCAAAGAAATATTAACTCAGTTAATCAGAACCACATCAAAGCATCACAGCTGCTGACAGCCAAAACAGTCTTTGATTTCAACGGTAAAGTTTGGTGCTTCAGGAATGGAATGATCAGAACTATAACAGGAAGACAGGATAAAAAGAACATCACAGCAGTCTATTATATTTTCCATGGTACATACTATATGCTAAGTAGTTACTTGGGGATAAACCAGGTAACCAAATTAAAGTTATATGTAGGAAACAGGTAGGCAACTGGACAAAATTGGCAACTGAGTATGTATTTAAATTTTTAAGTGAAAATGAACATCAGTAAACAAAAAAAAAAAAAAGCTGGACCCAAAGAGTGCGAAGTATAACTTCTCTTACCCCATGCTGTTTTGTCATTGTATTTACATATCAGCTACTGCTCCAAATTTTAGAAAAATTTGGAAAGAAACAATCTTTGTCTCAGCACTGATAGCTACCATATTGCACTGTGAATTATAGTACAACAGAACCAAGGACAATTAACTGTCATTTTAAGCAGTCATACAAAAACTTGAAGATGGATCTTGGAACTGTATTTATACACTGTCATCCAATTAATTTTCTCTAAAGAAAGAAAAAGAAATCTCAGAAAGGCACATAAGAACAATTATATAACAAGGTATTTCAATACATCATAGAACAAAGGTTCTCCTTTATCTAATCATTAGCACAATTCAGCATTTTTCCATGCAGTCTGGACACGTCATTCCCCAAAAATCTTTAAAATATCTCAGTGTGCAAATTAATTCTCTTCCTCTTTTTCTTAAGGTTGACAAAGGTCAGATCCGTCTTAACCATCAAGAACTGATGCTGATGCCACTGCAGGTACCATAATAGGTCACAGATTGCAAGTAAGCTGCAGCTACAATGTAGATGAGACAGAGTTGCAACCCACTTACCACTATTAACCATTCATTTGAGCAATTTTACATTTCAAATACATCCACCGAAGGAATAATAGATGACTTAAAAGGATTACCATTTATATTAAAAGAAGGGCTATCCTTTATTTTATGATTTTTAAAAAGAGTAGCAGCAAATACACAGGATGACAGCCTGTCTTACTTAAGATACTAAACAAGCTTTTATATTGTGATAGAGTTGCTCAAAATAAGAACATTACCCTGTTTCACTGTAAGAGTTTTAGCAGGTTTGAAAAAGGCACTAATAAATAGATGAAATTAACACAAGTCAGTCATACCTTTAGCCACAGCTTCTTTATATTTTTCTTTGGCAGAATTTACTTCTTTTATTAGTTGTCTATAGCTAGATTTTAGTTTCTCTAGTTCTGTCTTTGTGACCTTTAAGAAAACACAAATATAAGAAGTATTAAAAATACTTATCTTCAACATATAAAAAACCTCATAGCATTAGTGAAAGAGAATTAGCAGGATTTATTTTCCAAAATAGGATGTTACCACTTTCTATTGGCTTGAAATAATCTTAACAGGATATTACATGTTTTAGCAAAATCAAATTCAATAAATATGTGGAATGAAATAAGAGGCCTGAAACAGAGATCCCCATCCACATCAGTGTAATGAGAAATAAGTTTACGAAATCCAGGTTATCATAAACACTATTCCATTTCAATGACAAGGAAAAAAAGCGCCAAAAAGATGCTTAATGAATCATAACAGGTGAAAAAGTTCTATGCATAGAAGGAAATCCTTTAGCAACTTAAAAAAAAAAAGCAAAATAGAAGAATTTTTAGATGTCACAGTTCATACAAATGGCTTAGAAAAAGTAACTGTGCATGAACCAATCTATCTGTTGTAAGACTTAAATCCCTAAAAAGGAAAACAAACCAAACCAAAAAAAAAAAGAAAATCAACCAAAAAACCCAAATCAAAACGACAGCGGAACACAGCACTGAAGAATCTTTTTGCAGTGGAAGCAGCTCCACTGAACATGACATTTTTGGTCAAAAAATTGAAATGAAGTTGTGTCTTCTATCCCCAACTTTCATTCAGTGTGTGACAAAATTAGTGCATTGTTCAGAAATAAATCACAAATCATGAACTTGCAAACAAAAGCTAGTAACAAACCAGCCACTACAATACCAAAAAGGGTGGTCTATATAGTAAAGAAAAGTAAAAACTCTGACAAAAAGAAAAATACACTCACAATGGGAAATCATGGAAGAGGAACTTGAACTTAATTTAATAGAAGTGCTCCCTTCAACTGAATGTGCAGAAAAGGAAGTCTGTTCTACAGAAAAACTGCTCCTCTTGCAGCTGGCATGAAGGCTGGAGCTCACAATTCTTCCTTTTCTCATGAGGCAAGGCCCTGATATCACTACTTTCACCCTCAAGAATAACATCTGAAAACTTAATTGAATTACTCAAAGAGCCAACAAGGTGCTATCTAGAGTTTCTGTATCTGGGCCAACTGTGCATAGAATTAATTTAAAGGCAGGAACTTTTCTCCATATCAATCCCATATTCTCATCTCCTATTTTCTACACACTATAAATTATACTCAAAACTGTTGTTATTATAGACTAACAGAGGTGATACAGGAAAAAATAATTTAATGACAAACTTGTAATATGCAGACACTATGAGAAATGGAGAAAGATGAAATTTGGAAATAGCGAACACAATTAAGACATAAATAACAAGGAACTGCTTCTCTTACAGAAAACAGACAATAAAAGGTAAGCCACTAAGATTAAGAAACCTTTGTAATAATTGCAAAATATATTTTACTGATTCTTAGAGTTTTCTTCCAACAAACAAAACCAAAACCAAGAGCACCTCTGTTCCCAAATAATACTTAAGGAACTAAGATTGTTCAGGATTATCTTAAATACAATTTTCATGTCAAGAAGTCTTGCCCACCTAACTAGCACAGTATTCTACTTTTTTCATCAAATTTCATGAAGATAGAAAAAATACACAGTATCTTAATGGGAATTGGAGTAAATCTACAAGATGCAAGTTTTACTACATTCATGTAAGAGACATGGTATTTCATCATCCTTAAAAATTTTATCAAAAAGATTCCTCATTGTAGAGGTGTCTAGAATAAGAAAGGATGATACATATGCATTTCACCTAAAGGAAAACACATTGTTTTGCCAACATATCCTAAAAATATGAACTGCACAGACACTGATCTTCACAAGGTTTGGATAATATCCTGGGAAATAAGTCTTTTGCTTCTGTGTGTAACAAAAGCAGAAATAATACCACAAAACATGAGAAGTATTTTGAATTTCTGGGAACCATTCTGTAAGTGCTCCAGTGACAGAAAACCTTTGAACAAACAATGTCAGCTAACAATGGAAGAACATATCGTATCTGATCAAAATGCTATTCAAATGCTTCTTAGGAAAATCAGGAAGGGAGAAAAAAAAAAACCAATAATGCAAGTGTATTCATCAGGATGCCAAATATTTGTATGGCCATGCAGCCCACAATTAATTAAAATCAATACAGTTTGTAATTAATCATTTGGGGAGTGCTCAATATGCACTCATATTTTTTTGAAAAAGCCTTACTTTAAAAGACAGGTTTATGAGACATTTTATTACAGTTAACTTATTAACAGAAAAAACATGTTTTGCAGTCTCTTATAAAAGCATACCTGAACTTCCAGCAGTCTTGCTTTCTTCTAGCCTCTCTTTCTTATGTTCCTTTCTTTCTTTTTCCATTCCTCTAATTCTCTCTATATTTAACCTCTATTATTTCTCATGTATGCTACCCGTTTTTCCTTTTCTTCTACCCTGACTATATCAGATGCAACAATCCATAAACGGCTGTGAGTGATTATTTGGTTTGGAAATTTTATCAGATAAGACAGCCTACTGATCATGCATCATAAAGGTTGTGCTCCCCATAGTCAATACCTGGGGAAAATGCCAAGATTCTAGCATATTACAGAAGCTGTCCTATTAGAGCCAACATATTTAATATATCTTTAGTACTAGTTTAAAGTTTTTCTCCTAACTGGCCCAAGAGTCTTCTACTCATCAGTCCACAACATTTGTACTGTACTACTTGGACATTACATTTTAATTACACTACTCCAAATCTCACATTCTCTGCTGAAAGAGCAGAGAAAGAAGACAGTACTTTTCCTTCTCTCAGCAGACCTTTCAGACTATCAGTCTGATCTTTTACATTTGCACATAAACTTTTCCCAGAGCACCCGAATGAAACCATTATTTCTGTCGGCTTTACTGACCAAATACAGCACTTTCAACATAAGCAGGACAACTGACTTGTAATAGAAAAGGCCCTGGAGAGGTCCATCTTCAGCCTTAATGTTTGGTTTGCACTTGATTTATATTTCAGAACAGGGACTAGAATCCTGCCCCCACCCAAAACAGCCTGGACTGTCAAGAGCATTCACTAACAAAAGTTTTCAGTGTCTTGGTCAAAGGGATGCCTAGAGTGGAATGAGAACAGGAAGAGAGATGGAATAGAGAAGTGTCACAGAGAATCACCCCCTTCTGGAACAAGTGCATTTCCAGTAATATCCACCCATAGAAATTCATATAGAAGAAAATTTTTCATCTCTGCATTGTCAGCTAGCAGCAGAGAGAAAATGTGGAGGAAATAGCTAAAATTGCTAACCAAAATGCCAACGGATTCCACATATCACAAATCACTACTTTTATCATAGCACAAACAAAACCAGAGGAACTAAAAAAAATCCACTTCAATGTATTACTTTTAACATACAAAACGGTAATAAATCTATGAAGCACAGCTGAATAAAATACCTTGTACATCTCTGCTTCAATTTGTTGATGAACACCTACGTAACTCTTCTTAACTTGCTGCTTATCTTTGATCATCATTGTAAGCCTATGCAAAGGCCCAGAATTAAGATCCTCTGCATGCGTCTTCATTATTTTGCTCAGCTGTTCTGTTTGCTGTACCACCAGCAACCAAGACTATAGAATAAAAAGTCAGAAAAGAAAAGCACTTGCTTATTCTGGCTTACAAATAACCAAATAATGAACATGAGCTGTGGGAAAAGATGCATCACTGTTTAAAACAATTTAGTGAAAAAAGAATTTTCAACTTACCCAAACGCACTTGAGATCTTCTAAAATAAAATTCTTCCTGCTACAGCAAAATCATGCTTCAAACTTACTCATAAAATCATAAAAAGCACCAGAGACAAAAATACAATACCTTGTGGTCACTTTTCAGTACTGTCCTTGTACTTCTAAACACTGAGGAAAGCTGTACAGCCTTTTTTGGAATACATCCCTGATGAGCATGATCCCATGTCCTTTGTTCTCCTGTTTCCCAGCCATAGTCACTCCGTTCAAGCTGACTTCTCTGCCCTTGTCTAAATACCTCACAGTTAATACACATTTCAGAGGCTACTGGTTAAGAGGATGCCATTCATCAGCTGCTTCACATAATTGACAGCATCAGTCAGGCCACCAGTAATCAAAGCATAAGGTGCTAAGAGTTTAAGAGACACAAGCAGTCACTTGTCTGTCATAGTAACCCAACATCTTTCTGTACCTTACTTTAATAACTTCCCTGGCCATTCTGCCAGTCAGTTTTCAGGAGAGCTTAATGTGCTTTGTGTGGCTTTTAAATTTTGATTAAGAACTGTAATGTGAACAGAGAGACTTCCAATGCACCACAGGTATGAACACGAACTTAAAGTTCCATTCAAAGAAAAGCATTTGTTACCCTACAGATCACTGTCATGCTTTGTTGATGGGAACAGTACTGGATTCCTTAGAGGTAACTCCCTCACATTGTGCTATATCTAAAATTTCAGAATGGCTACATGCCATACAATTATCAGGTCTTGAAGGCAGCTAGTAAGCTAGTTTTACTAGCATTTATCTTACTCTTACTAAAGACATAAACCTTACTACATATCTACATATGTCTTACTAAAGACATAAACCTTACTTACATATCTTACTCTTACTAAGACATAGATCATCAAAACTTAGTAAATTTGTTTGGTAGCTTTGGGGTTTCCTTATAACTCTTATATAAAAGATATATACATAATATTTCCCTCTCTACATGACAATGCTGCAACACAAACTGAATTCTAGAGAAGGAAATAAAGACAATTAACTTCTGTACATATTAAACCATCTTTAACATTTCCTTTAGCTCGTAAACATCCCACAGACTGGCACAGAACCATCTCAGACTGCTTAAGTGTGGTGGTGTAAAAGGTCACGGCCTCAAGCTTCCTGGCTATGGCTGAAAAATATTTCACCTCTCGATTACAGAACACTTCCCAAATGACATCAGAAGCCATATTCCAAAGCTGCATAGGATAAAAACATCATTAAATATCTGTCTGAGAGGAGTGGGTCTTATGGTTATAGAAGAGTTCATAAGAGCTTTCTCAGAAGTGAAAATGTAGTCAGAGATCTCCATTTTCTTTAAGGCTGATTTATTACTGATGAGACAAGTACTGTTTCAATCAACCCTGAAAATCACAGCAAAAGCATATTTCAATAGGATAAGTACTCTAAAGAAATACTTAACTTACAATTCACCAAATGAACCCGAATAAGTCAAAAACATAGAGAAAACTTCCCTTTCCATTTAAAAAAAAAAAATCATTTGCACATTTTCCTATTCTTTATATCTCTCTTTCCATACTGAGAAAACATCAGCTAAACAGGATTACTGTGTTTTGTATGATTATATTTTATTATTTTAAAATAGGAAAAGCTAAAGTGAAAAGCTATACTTGAGGAAAGGCTTCAAAAAGGCTTCAAAAATTGAGATGTATATGGGACAGAAAAGCAGCTGGGTGGGGACAGCAGAAAAGGCAAAGCATTTCCTTTCACAGAAAATAACCACAATCCAGAAAAAGCAATAAAATATTATATTGTTTCATTTAACAGTATTTTTTAGACATATACACACACAAAAGAGATGTTGGGAAGCACTTAAAAATACTGCTTTTCTAGCATTAGCAGTTGCTGCCGCTATGCCTTCCAGCAAGTTTGCTGCCTCTGCATGAAAAGAATATATGACAGATTTGATTTTCCCAAACACCATCTCTCTCAAAGTGCTCTGTACACTTTAAAAAAACAAAACAAAACCCCAAACATAAAAGATTGGTATTTGGGTTTGATGCCACGTAATACCAAAAATTTAATAAAGAGGTATTTTAAATCTTAGAAGATGCAAGATACTAGATTTATGTCCCAGAATATTTGGGTCATGCTTTGATTCTGTAAAATGTCAGGAAGAAAAAAAAAGTATCATGAAATAGTAAAATAAATTAGAATGAGGTGAGTAAAGCAATCAATAATTCAGATGTTTTAACTGCCAAAACCAATAAGATAATGTGTCACTACACAACTTTAAAATCCAAGGTGACAGTGAAATTTCAAGGCAAGCCCATACGAAAGGTCTGTCAGTAGCATACGAACATTTTTGCTGTTAAAAAGAGATGTAGAGATGAGGGATGGGGCTTGAGAGGAAAATGGTACCTCCTTAAGAGAGAAAAAAAAAAAAAAGAAAAAAGAACAAAAGTAATCCTGAAAGAACAACTTGAGTGCCTGTGTCCAAAACAAGATTTCGAAATGGGACACACATCCCTGTCTTCAACCCCAAAATCCACTCTGTTTCATTGCCTAAAAGAGTTTCAAGGTAGTTTAGCTAGCACGTAAGAGCAACTCTAGCAAGGCAACAATAGCAAGAATTATTAGTCATGTTAACAATAATCCTATGCAAAATTTTGGGATCCAACAGTAGAGAAAATACCTGACTTCTGCCAATCTTAGGCTAATGACAACACTTCAATGTTTATTTACCGAAGTCATCACAACTTAAATAGCAAAATCTGTAACAAACTGTGTACAAAACACATAATTGAGAGAAAAGCATTTCAAATATACCACCAAAACACATAGATGAGAAAAAAAAAGGTAGTATGACAATTTACAAGACAAGAATTATTGTGGGGGAGGGAAGTAACAACAGAATTTGTTATAGATAAACACTCTGCAGTGCTACTTCTGGGGCAGCTGAAGCAGCCTAGCTATATAGCAGCACAGCTTTTCAGTCACACCCCCTGCCACTTTAATCCAGTATAAATCTAAAACTGCTGCACAAGCAGGAGTCATGTACCTATGTCATAGCTAGTATTCAAGCAGCCACCCCATAAGCCCACTACATAAAAACTGCTTTGTCTAAAATTTAACTTGACCCAAAAAGGGTGTTTTCCTGCCGAGAGATCAGGATTCATGCCAGACTGAAGGGTCTGTGTAACCACTGCTACAGCAGAGGGGCCAAGAACTGAATAAGCCATTAAAATAAAACAGTTTTCTCTAGTCAGGAAAGAATTCGAGTCAGTAGTGAAGCTTACAAACACATGAAATAGGGAAGTTTGCTTTATCAGTACCTTTACTGGACTTGGTCTAAATCTGAAAATTAATAATCTGGGGGAAGGACAGCCTTACCTTTATAAGAAGTCAATACAATTATTTTAAATTGGACGCAAAATACCTTCACAATTGTGAAAAAATCCTGAATTAATGTCTTGTTTTTACAGCACACACCGTAGTGTGAATAACAGCTGGAATGCTAGGCTTTGCCTCAGTTTCCTGGCATTTTTCTATTTTTGTCACAAATTCTATATAACATAAACAATAGTTGCTATTTAACTGCCTTAAAGGAAAAGCCTACTACAGCATTCTCTATTTTCAAAACACTAAACAAAGTAGCAGACTCAACCCAGGAACCAAAAATACTGAATTTCAGAATTCAGGATTGATTCTAGTTCAGTTATTATTTTCAAAGCAAGGCTGGAGCTCAACTTCTGCATATTCCACTGTGGAACAAAAAGGAGCCCATTTTAAATACTTCGGCAACATTAACTCTCAAGAAGCTAAATCAACAGAAATCCAACTCAAACTAAAACAAACAAAACTAAATCCAGCACTGTTACTTCAAGGATATTCCAAATTCAAGATTTTTCAGTCTTACCTTGGACACATTGCTGATATAATCCAGTTGACAAGTGCTCTCTTTATCTACTTGATTACAAAGATTCTGTAAAGTGGAAGCATACTCCTTATCACTTTTCACTCGCATTACCATAAATTTCTTCACTGTTTCCAGCAGTCGTAGTTCCCAGTCTTGCAGTTTTAATAAAGCATCATGGGAATACTTCAGGTCACCTCCAAACCCCATTTTTTAAGGCACTATATACCACACAGGGGAAAATACAGGCTCTTCACCACATCTGAAAGCAGAACAAGATTCATGAGACACGTATTGAAAGAAAAACTTCCGGTGTGACAAAGAGCAGCTATTAATGTCTAAAGCCTGAAACAACTTAACCATAACATCAACCACATACATATACCTCCTCAAAATAAACAGGAAAGAAGGCCAGAGCACTATTTTAAATACCCATCTATGACCGGAAGATATCTCAGACCCAGAACTGTCCTCCAGTTCCCATCTGCAAAGTGGACCTCCCTAACTTAAAGTGGAGTTAGGAGGGAACACGTAAAAGCATCTGAAGCAGATACTAAAGACCAGTCCACATATTTAATCAAATAAGTATAGCTGACAATATCTCCAGACAAGAGCTGCCAACTATACAGTTCCACTCCTGGTGACCCAAAACATTTGTTTCTGGTGTTTACTGTCCTAAGAGCATAGAAAAATCCAAATAAAACATCAGCTCTCAGGCATCGCATCTGTGGGAAATGGATAACTATCAGAAGCTAGTTTGCTCCTTAACACTGTATTAGCAGGCCATTAAACTTGCAGATTCAACCTCCCAAAAATCATAAAATATCCCAAACCAGGTTCCCTATGCAACTGTCCATTGCTCCCCTAGGACACACATTAGGGCAGAGTCATCAACTTCACACAGTTTTCCCCTAAGGCAGTCCAGTCTTACTGTACTGAATGGACACCATTTGATAAACAGATACGAATGCTGCCTTATGAAATCCTGTAATACAACTGCAGGTCAAAGACAGCTGTTTGAGCTAGCTCTAAAACACCTGCGTCCAATACTGATAAACATGCAGCCACATCATGGAAGATCTGAACCCACACATACGAGTGATTTCCACAGACCTGCATAGGGTTCATAATGTGGGCCAAACCCTCTTTGCTGTGTATACACCAAAACCCTCTTCTATACTAATCAGCTTCAAGCTAGGTAAGATAAACTTACAAAAACTGCAATCATAGCTCTGGACTTCAGTGCAGACACAGCCGGTGTCCTGCTTATTCATTAATTCCTGCACTCCAGCCAAGTCTTAGCTCTTTTGAACACCGAAGTACCAATTTCTTCATAGCCTTTAAATTGCCACCGAAATTAGCACAGTGTTTTATAAACATTAACAGATTTATCTTCCTAACAGCCCATGGGGTGAAGCAGGACTAATAATCTTATTTTACACTGAGAACTGAGACACATAAACTAATGTCAACATTGTGCCAGCTAATACGGGTATGTACAAGGCTTAATGACAGACTTTTCAGAGTGCCTAGCATTTTCACCATGTTAATTATCCAGAAAAAAATAAGATGTTAATGGCTTCAGTTACCACACAAAATTTCAGAAGATTTTTGTCAGTCAGAACCTAGAGCGATCTCCAGGGCAGCCTAAGTCCCAGGACTGTCCCTCTCTTCCTGCAGTTCCCTGCCTCCATTAACTCTTCCAGTAAGTTACGGAAATAGGCCTCATCCATTACATGTTTATCTCAAAAGACAAACCATGCTACATAACAAAAGACACAAAGATGCTATATAGACAGTAAGAATAGTGCGTTACTGTGCATCTACACAACTGAGGCAAGTCAAGGTTGTATGAGCTAACATACAACTATGTATGTTGACATGTAACAAATGTATGAGTAACCTTAGATCTATCACAAGCTTTCATATGCTCT